TCGGGCTCCAGGGCCCCATGCCACCCCTGCTTGGCCCTGTGCATCAGAATTAGGCCATGCACTGTCATGCACATCCAATCTAACCCGCAAGAACACAGCCCCTGCAGTTTCCCACATAACCCATGGGGAACCCTGAGCACCAAATGACTTGGCACTGGGGGTTTGATCTGGCCCGTGGGCTAGCAGTTGAGCACCACTGGTGTAGGAGGTAGCCCTAGAATAGAAAATATTATGAAATGATATATGCTGCTGATATTTAAGCCTTGAATAACAGCTGATAATCTAAATAGATCTACACACACAGAGAAGCAGTTAAGCCCTGAGAAGATTTACAAAGACATGGTATGAAAGGAGGGTGGAGAGTAAGTGACAACTACAAAACACTAGATCATTACCACAATATCCAACCACATCCAGCACTCTATTTTAAATAAGTCCAACTACTGAACTAAATTATATCTGTCCAAGCCTTTTCAGTCCAATGGAACAAGGATAGGGATATGCTATATTACAGGGTGAAAAAATGAGCCTAATGCCAGTGGAGTTTAAGTGGCATACAGTCATGCGTAAGTAACTGGGGCAACTCCCTTCAATCACTACACAACTTGTAGTGTAGCTCAGTGCTGTCCAACTGGTGGCCTGTGAGCTGTATGTAACCCCTGAAGGGTTAAGCATGGGGGCAACCACCCAGGTGACAGTCCCCACCCAAGTTGCTCTTACCCCAGCAGCCAAGAGGCAGCTGAAGTGCCCAAGCTGTGCATATAGCAAAGGGAGCTGGGCTGCCCACATCATGGGTGGGTGGTACACATGGCCAGGAGAGGCAGAGGGGCCAGGCTGCCTGTGTGGCATGAACAGCTGCTAGAGGGGAAGCAATACCCACACTATGCAGGTGACAGGGAATGCGTTGGGCAGCCCATACAGTAGGGAGGGGGAAGACTGGGAGGAGCACCCACCCAGCCATGTGGTGTGCATCCCCTAGGTCTGTAGTTCTTCTAGCATGCAGCCCCTGGCTCCCCCAAAACAGGACAGTCCTGGTGTAGCTGTTGGGGCTGCTGCTCTTTTATAAGTGCTGGTGGGTTTTGGGGTGAAGTGAGAGAAGACAAGCATGTAATGATTAAAACAAGTAAAAAGTGAGGTACCTTCAGAGCAAGAAACTAGGACCAGAGCTTCCAAGTAAAGGCTTTACACATACATGTACTGGCTTTACACATACATGTACAGGCACTTAGGAGGATGACCCCTGGCCTGTGTTTCCCCATAACTGGGGACTCAATATCAAGCAGAAGAGCACCAAGGCTGAAGTTTGTAAATATGATTCACTCATCTGCCCCAGGGTACAAGGAAGAAAATCCAGTTGGGTGAAATTCTGTAAACAAAGTGCAGACCTGCTTCCTGGTATTTCCAAACAGCTGCAACTTTAGTTTTCTGAAACAAAGAGCAGGAACACTCATCCCTTGCCTGTATCAGCTTCTGGCGCTGAAAAGACAACTACAGAACTCGGAATCTTCTCTGGCTACAGCCTGCATCTGCTCTCATTTTCTTTTGCCAATTTCTACTCAAATGGTGCTTCCTTTGTTGAGGAAGCTTTAAAAGGAGCAGCTCCTCTAAGTCATCTTTCCTCTTATCAGTTTGTCAACTCTTCTGTCCATGCACTGTTACCAGATTTGCCCATTACTTTGGGGTGTGCTCATTTAAGGGATACATTTTTAGGGTCTTGGTAATTCTGTCAATGTGCTGCTTGTGTTACTTGTGTTTCTATATGGAGCTGTATATCTCCCTTCTGCAAGTCCTCACCCCCAATGGAGCTATTTTGCAGGACTCAGTTTCAATGGGGCTGGGTTCCTCCAGTCACCAAATCAGTCATATACACAAACACACACAGATTAACGTGACACGCCTGACCCGGCTGGGTTGATCAGCACAGACAGGCTGACACCCTCATGTGCCAAGAATCAGTTCATCAGAGCAACAATAAACTGCAGTCAGACACAAGCACATGGGTAAACAGAATCCCTCTGAATCCAGCTGGGTGTCCAGCTGACACCCTCATGGGCCAGCACTCAGTTCATAAGGGCACGTCCGAGTCAAACTGGGTCAATAAGCCTGTACAAGCTGATCCCCTTATGTGTTTCAAACTCAGCACGTCTCAATCTCTGGCCTCTTGATGAGCAGACCCCACAGTATTTTTGGGCTTCACAGGGATCTCTAGCTTAGGTAAAAGAAGCGTTGCTGCAGAGCACGTGAGGAAGGAGAAGTAGAGAAGGAAAAATGTACCCAGTTACTACCAGTTTGACTATAAAGGTTATTTATTGCTAAGTATATGAAATATATAATGGTTCTAGTAGTAATAGACATGCAAAGGAAAAACACACACAAACAATTACAATACTACCCTGGTTTCACTAAGTATTTGGGGAAACTGAGCTCAAGCTTAACTAATACAGTTCAGGTTCAGAAATTTATGCCTAGAG